AAAAAAAAAAAAAAAAAAAAAAAAAAAAAAAAAACTTGAGTAACATATTTCTTAAATTTTAATATTATAATTAATATTTTAACTCATGTAATGGATAAAAAAATATTTATTTTAACATAAATCAACATTTATAATAAATAAATATTTTTAATAAATAAAATATTATAATTAAAATCCATAAACAAAAATACTTTTAAACATATAAATTATATTTTAAAATTTGAAAATAGTCATATCATTATTGGTCAATATTATTTGAACAAATTATGTTATGTTTTCTACAAGCAAATTGGTTTTATTTATAAATCATCTCCTATTATTTGATGAAGAGATATATCATTTCAAATTATATTAATATTTTTTTATAAAATGTCACATCTTATAACTCTAGTTAAAAAATTATATTTCATAACTTTTACTGAGTTATCAGATCTCATGCTTCGTAATAAAGAATCACGTCTCGTAACTTTTCATGATTAGATATAATTTCAATCTTTCATTAATTTTGGAAGTCTCTTGATTCTACTGTGCTACATTTGATTGTGGTTATGTAATTTGTGTTTTGACTATTACAAAATCACCAACTGCCTTTAAATTACAAAGTTTTTTTCATTGCTTTTATATTCTGCCCATGTTGTTGACAAGAAAACAATGGACTATAAAGTTACATACCAATTGAAAACACTATCTCTAAGCATTAAAATATATATAACCTATCAAGTTAGAATAGTAGATTAAGCCTAACTCAACCCTACAAAACCGGCTTGTAAGGTAAGGGTTGCTTTCCACTTATATACTATTCAATTGCCTAATCTCTAGTCGATGTGGGACTTGGGTTTTTCCCAATACACCCCCTTACGTCCAACACTATTGGGCTTGGTACGTGGATAAATGGTGGGTGACCCTTTTTAATGATCTAGGATTGGCGGGACTTGGGTTTTTCCCAATACACCCCCTCATGCCTGTGAGGCATGCATCAATGGTGGGTGGCCCATTTTTAAAGTGGATCTAAATGGCTCTGATACCATGTTAGAATAGTGGATTAAGCCTAACTCAACCCTACAAAACCGGCTTGTAAGGTGAGGGTTGCTTTCCACTTATATACTATTCAATTGCCTAATCTCTAGTCGATGTGGGACTTGGGTTTTTCCCAATACACCCCCTCACGTCCAGCACTATTGGGCTTGGTACGTGGATAAATGGTGGGTGGCCCTTTTTAATGATCTAGGATAGGCGGGACTTGGGTTTTTTCCCAATACACCCCCTCATGCCTATGGCACATGCATCAATGGTGGGTGGCCCATTTAAAGTGGATCTAAATGGCTCTGATACCATGTTAGAATAGTGGATTAAGCCTAACTCAACCCTACAAAACCGGCTTGTAAGGTAAGGGTTGCTTTCCACTTATATACTATTCAATTGCCTAATCTCTAGTCGATGTGGGACTTGGGTTTTTCCCAATACCTATCAATACCCCAAGGTGTAAGGTTCAGAAACCCCTATGGTTTTAATTTTGGCACATTTTGAACCAAATCCTAAGCATTCTAAATTCTAAATGAATGCTACTAACGAATCTTCTTGAGTATGTGATAAGAACAGGTTTCTCGAGGGATACAAAGACATAACATCACTAAGAAAAAAAAATTCAATCTATGTGATGCAAGACTTGAATTAGACTGAAAGAGTCACTGCTCAGAGAGTTGGGAATAATAGCTCAAAAAGCTTGTTCCATGATCATACATTTGGCACATCAGCAAGAAAATATTGGAAGAACTAAAGGCTGGTCAAATCAAACCCATGAAGATTTGTGTGAGAACACATTTAGCGATAGTTTTGTCATATCTCGGAATATTCATTCGGATAAAGGACATTTTCATAACTTTCTAGCTACAAGAGAAGATAAATGAATTGTTTTCTCTCATTATATAATTGGCAATATATATTAGATTAAAATAAATCAAAAGAACGGCTAATAATATCCTTTTTTGCTGCTATTGCTTGTTTGTTTCTCTTTAAATTGATCAGTCCATACAGTAATCCAGCTGCACATATATGACAACCATGTTGAAAAGCAAATAAGGGATAGAATAGAAAGAAATTGCCTATATGTCATGTTAATAAACACAAGAAGTTAAGGCAAAACCTCTCCCAAAGAACATAATTGAAACCTACAACACCTTACACCACCCTCCTTTTAAGTCATTTTGCATCTTTCATTTTCAAGCCAGATTCAGAAACCTCACTGATTATGGTCAATGTTTTTCCAATAGGGAGCTCTGTGTGTGCCTGCAAAGGCTCCAATGAGTCCACAATATCTCTCATTAGAGGCCTTGCTTTTGGGTTGCGGTTCAAGCAATGGTATGCAAGCATTGCAGCCTTGTGAACTGCTTTGATTGGATAATCACCATCCAACCTTGGATCTATAATGTTTAGAAACTTCTTCTTTTCCTTCAGCAAAGGAAGGGCCCATTCTGCTAGGTTCTGCTCTCTGGCAGGTCTTAACTTGTCTAGAGATTTTCTTCCTGTGAGAAGTTCAAGAAGAACAACACCAAAACTGTAAACATCACTTCTAGGAGTCAGGTGACCTGCACAACATATTATCATGATGTCAATATGTATTATATTGAGAATTTAATTTAGGCTTAGTTGTATTTTTAATCACCAAAGTTTCAGGATTTCTCGAATTTTGTCTCTCAACTTTTAAATTTTTGCAATTTTATTAATTGATCATTTGTCTATGTTAATTGATCGCTAACATAGACATTATGTCACATCATCATCTATATATCATATAAGTAATCTATGTTAATGTGTCATGTTAATAATTAATGTACTACATTAATGATCAATGTGTCATATCACAATTAACTAATAGAAATAAATAATGAATTAATACGGTGACAAAATATATAAAAAAAGTTAAAAGTTAAGTAGCAAAATGTGCAAATAAATCTTTAATTTAAGTACATCAACAACATAGTTGATTTTAATCACAAATTATCATATATGATAAGTATGTTGACTTTTATAAAGATATCTTAAAAGTCACTCTTAATATGATTTTTGATTGGTTGATAGATAGTGAAAAAGTCTTTATAATGCATAAAAATCAAACTCTTGTATTATATGGAACAACTATAACTTCTCTATTTAGCCTTTATTTATGTCTAGCGAAAGTATGAACTTCGTTTCACAAATGAGTACAGAATCCCAGCTTCAAGCTATACTTTACCTGTCATTATGTATTCAGGTGCAGCATAACCATATGTTCCCATTATTCGAGTAGAGACATGGGATTTGTCTCCAACTGGTCCATCCTTAGCTAGGCCAAAGTCAGAAAGTTTTGCATTGTAGTCCTGTTTTTGAAACATATAAAAAAAACCAAGATGGTTTAGTTGAAAGCTGGCTTAAATTTGAAACCAATATGGCCTTTGCTGTACAAGAACTCCAAAGAATCCATGTTTAATAAAATCCTAATCTACATCATGTCAAAATTAACATGCAAATTATGGAAACAATTATTTGTTCACCCCACAATATATGCTTAAATGGTAAAATTTTAATACCAATATGTGTACATTCTCCTTACATATTTATTTTTTCAATTTCAGATGACATATTTTAGTAAACTGACCTGATCCAATAAAATATTTGATGTCTTAAAATCTCGATAGATGACTGGTTTATCTGCTTCATGAAGAAATGCAAGTCCCTTTGCAGCGCCAAATGCTATCTTCATTCTTATGGACCATGGCATGGGAAGCAAAATTTCTGCCGCATTTTGTTGAAGGCACATTAGATATACAAACAAAAGAAACACTATTAAAGTCTCTTCTTTTGTTGAATAAAGACAAATAGTTTTGAATATTAGTGGACTTTATGATTATATCGTGGTGGGGTCCTTCCAAGTTGCAACATTAAGTCTGCGTCTATCTTTCTCCAATAAAATAATCTTACAACACAAAAGGATCCAAGTCTTATACTAAACCTTAAACAATCAGCATAAAATATCTTAATAACTTTAATAATCCATAAAGTGTGTGATGCTTTTTCCATTAGCTAATAATGAAGATTTTCTGTAAAATATCTTGTAATTAATTATTTATAAGACTATTGGCTATAGGACTCACTAAGGGTATAAAAATGACAAATTATTTATAATGTGCCTTGTAATTACATGAATTGCCATTGATTTTTCATGCAGGTATTCTAAACGACCCATCAATCCAGCATTTTTTTTCACTACCGTGAAATTATAAATTAATATGATAATCTATCACATAAAGTTAGTTTAGCAATAGTGTTTTGTCAAGAAATGGGTACCCTTTTTTGGTTGTTAATTGTTTACACTCACTCTCCGTTATATTTCATTTCCATTTTTTTTTCTTTTTTTATTTACCTATCAATTTTACATCACACATCTGATTTTCTTTCTCTTCCTTTTTCTTCTCTTTTTTTTATCACTTTTCATTCAATTCATTTCACATCTCACAAGTGCATGTGAAAAAAATATTAGCCTTTTCTTTAAATGCAAGTAAACATTTTCTCAATCATCTTCTCCTCTCTTCCTCTCTAGCTGCTTGGAATTCTTTAGACATCACTTTATTGGTAGGACCTCTTAAGCCCTAACATGTATAATGCCAAAATAAATAAATAAGAGTCGGCTCAAATTCTAAATAGCAAGCTTTTTTCCTTTTTTTTATCAACAATGGAAGTCTTTTAAGATTTTTATTTTTCCTTTCAATTGGGTAGTAAGTAAAGCTTGAAAGTTAGTACTTTATGGGCTTTATGGGCTTGTGCAAAATAAGGGGTTCGAGCCCATAAGAAAACTCCTGTTTGAAGTGTTGCCACAGTAACCCAAACATGAATTAATCTCACAAAATATTGTAAAATGTTTAGGGAATTTACATTCATTGGAAAATAATGTAGGACCTACCAAGAATCTGCTCACTGAGGTAACGTTTTCCATTCTCATATTTTTCATGTTAATGATTAAATCGCAAAGGAATGTTGATGGTCAATTAGTCATAGTCTTCTTTTACATTGACACCTATTATGGTCACTAAAGGTTGCATATAGTATAACTAAAACAACACTTTATTTCCTTAAGTTACTGTCGAACTTACGTCCTTATCAAATCCAGCTAAAGCACATGTCTTAATGAAGTGACAAAGAACCAACTTCTTAAGCACAAAACTTCCTAACTCGGTATTTTTCCACGAAGCTACAAAATGGAGCCAAAATCACTTTATCTTAAATTCCTTTCTTTTTAGTGTCAACATTGTCGGAGACAATTTAAAAGGGTAAGTAAAAAAGTAAGGTGACATGCATCTGCCAAAACAACATAATATTTTTCAATAAATTCCTTTCTATGTTACATGCATTGGCCCCTAGTAACATATGTAGTAGCAGCAATGTCCTGAGCTTTAATTTTAAGCAATTTCAAAATTATCGATAAAAGGTGGCATGATATACTTACTTGAGAACAAATTATGTTCAACACTTCCCCGGGACATGTACTCATATATCAGCACCCTATGTTCATCTTCACAGCAGTATCCGATTAATTTCACTAGATTTGGATGTGAAAGCTGCCCCAAAAATATGACTTCTGCCTAGAAAGCAAAGAAAATCTTAATTAGCTTGCAACAATTTCTAACCAATAATAACTAATTTTTGTTACATCAATTTACATGTGTCAATAGTAGAACAAACATGGCATGTGAAGCATCATGATTTTGGAGTTAGATGATTGCATACAAGTCAGAAGAATTTTTTAGATTTTTTCTATTAAAATATAGTTTTTTTCTATAAAAAAATTTGTAAAAATACTTCTAAACTTGTATTAAAACAAATTCAATGTACAGAAAGAGAAAAAGGTATACCAGCCATTCTCTGTGGCCTTGATGACTGTTGTCACCATCATGAACCTTAACAGCTACGGCAAGGGTAGGAAGCCCTTGCCTTAACTCCTCAGAAATGAAGCCTTTATACACACTTCCAAATCCTCCTCCCCCCAACACACGATCTGGCCGAAAATTTGAAGTGATTTTCTTTAGCTCATCATAAGTGAATGCAATCAAAGGATTTGCAGCTGAGTCACGCCGTAGGTCTTCTACTTCTTCAGGATTTGATGGTAACTTACTATCATCGTTTCTTTGTTTGCTTCCCTGGTTTTGTTCTTTTGGTGAATCAATAAGAGAACAAAACATGTGCACATTATTCTCATTTATTATTCTCAGAAAAACAAACTAAAAAAACAACAGATAAAGCTATCAGATATTACATTAAACAGTTAATACATTATACAATGTGAATGGAATGTTATACAGAAAATTATCATGAATATATCAAGATCACACTATCTATAAATATTGTAATATTGTGATGTTAAAAGATTAAGAAGTCTACATAAATAACTCCTTTTCTCATATTGGATAGACAAAAAGAAGAATTAGTATACACTTTTAAAATAATGGGATGCTGGGAATATATTATAATTGTGAAGAAGGGGATTATATATTAAAATTCCACCACCAATTTTGTATGAAAAATTGGTTAAGATAATACTCAACGCACTAGAGTTAAGAGGTTTCCACTACGCACGTGAGAATCACAAGCCGACCTACTTTTGAAGCAAACACATAAAGATATTAACAGATTCTACATTGAAGTTACTTTAGAAAAGTTAAAAAGGTTTGACTTGATTTGAAGACAACATGTAACTCCTACATGAAGATTTTAGATTTCTGTGTTTTTGTTCTCTTCGTCTTCCAATGATTTGCAGAATACCAACTTACCTACAAGGGTGAGAGCTAACACACTACGTGTCAAAGTTTCATTAGATTCAAATGGTTTAATAACCACAACACAAAATTTTCAATGAAAAACAAACCAGCTGAAAGGATGATCAAGAAATGAAGAAGGAAAAATTGGAGTGGTACAAAATATGGAATCCTTGACAATATCTCCACCAAAGACAGAATATTGAAAAAGATAAGAAGGAGATGAAAAAACCATTTTTAAGAGATAGAACAGAATCCAGGAGGAAAACAAGGAATCTAAATATCTAATCAAACCTCTATCAGAACATACACCAAAAAACTTGATGATAAACAAATAATAAATACCAAAATTATATATAAAAAAAATCCAAAACAGAGAAGGGTAAGATTTTGTTAGTAAACCAACCTGACTTTACATTGGATGAGACTCTATATTCTGATGACTCCCACCTACACCAGCAATTACCCATTATACGAATCAAAACACACCCTTCCAGCACCAGCTCCTTTATCAACACCCCATCACAAAAACCACAGCTTCTTTTTTATTTTTTGTGAGTTGTTATCTCAGTCCTCAAGGAACATGGCATAGATTTAGGAGCAAGGAAGAGACACACATGAGAAAAGAAAACAAGTATAAAGGAGAACAATAACATGGTTAATTAGTGTTATGATCAAATGGATTGGTTGAGGTGTGAACGGGGACATGTCTTTTGGTGACAGAAAGGTAAGAGTGGGAGATAATTCAGAGATGGCAATGATGTTGATGAGTTGGGTGTTGGCTTGGCTATGGGGGAAGATGGAAGGGCCCACATCGACTGTGATTCAAAATGTGGCTCGGTGCACTTTGATGTTAGTGCGCACATAGAAGGTGCATGTTTTTCATAATGCATACCCACCAATCTTTTTCCATCACTCTCTATTCATTCCAATTCACACTCTTATTCATTCTTTCAAATCTTTTTTTAAGCCCTATTAACAGAGAACTTTATTCAGAAAGACAAAACTCACTTCAACATGTCTAGAAAAAAAAAATTAATTTTTGATTATGGGGAGAAAAAATATATTTGGCTGCAAGAAAAATAAAAAAATTAAAACCCCTCTTGTGACTTCTCTCCTATTCTTCCTCTATTGGGTGTACTGTATCCAACACACAAAAACTTGCAACCACCACACCTAACCACCCTTTTTTATCCTTAACCTTTTGGTTTCTTCCATAAAATATTTCTTTCTTTTTTGTGCTAAGTCAATCAAAAGAGTTATATCAATATGAAATCATGAGAATAACTTTTATTAAATGAATGAGGGATAAAACATATGCTACTAATTATGATGATGATATTATATTTTTTACTCTAATTGTTTAAGTCCATCTGTTAAAAGGTACACACTTACACTTTAATAGTTTATCCGTATATGTACCCAATGTCATAGAATAATCTATATGAATACATTATTGAAGGATAATAAGAGTATTCATAGGTAGTCAATTATGTCCTTGCTGTTATTGATGTAATTGTGATAGTTATTAAAATGAAAAAAATAAATAAATACAATAATATGCACTATATAACTTTATAAAAATTACATGAAATTATTTTTTATTCCACTTAATCTACTTATATGTATATTATATATACTGTCACTCAAATGGAACTTTTGTTTTTTTATTTTTTAAACTATATGTTAATCTTAATTAAGGATAAAAGGAGAAAAAATATTGTTTATTTTTCTCCGATGAAATTCTCTCTGTTCACTATTGATATGAGAGTCTTTCACCATATGTGTTTATTTGAATGGAAGAAAATTAACATGTTCTATTTTAAGATTATACATGTATGAAATTGAAAAGTACCATTCCACTTGCACTCTGTGTGTTAGAGTGGAAATACAAATAGAAGAAATTAGTTGAGTTATTTGATGTAACAAAATTAAGGAGAATGAAATTAAAAAAGTGGCCAGATCTCCATGATTTTATTTCCACACTAATATTTAAAACTCTTTATTTTTTTAATATTTATAACTTATCTGTCACACTAAACAACAAGTTCTTAGTTTCTCTTACAAACTAACTAACGTAAATAGTGAAGAATAAAAAAAACATGTTACGAATGTGAATGCAAATGTTACTTTTTATTAACTTATAAAAAAACTGTAAATCCTATGTGACCAAATTATTATGTTTGTTTCATTTAGTTAAAAACAAAATTTATGAAAGGATTGTTTAAATAAATTTTTTCGTAAAGAATTGTTCAACAAGAACATGAGAAGGCAAAATAAATTGAATGTGTGTATATATTAGATTTATTTTTCCATAATCATTTTCAATATCCACTACATGCAAAAACTATTAACAATCATTATAATAGTGCAAACAAAATTAGACTTTAGTAGGTTAAGACATGTTTTAGGAGAAGAAAAATTTCAATTTTACGCTGAAAGTCAAAACAACAAATAATTGTTTCCACTTTTTTTTTAATTCTACCATGGTTTTGGGAGCTAAAATTGATTTTAGTAGTTATCCAAACACACTGAGATTTTCCCAAACTAAAATAACTTATATAGAACATTGGTTTTTATAAAAAGTTAAATTAGAGAGTTTTTATTTTTATAAAAATTTAGTACATAAATTAATTTAATTCGTAAGAAAAAATAATATTTTATCTTTTTTTTCTACAACTACTTACTCAAAAAGTTATTCAGTGTGAATCTTAAAATTTCATTTTTTTTTCTAACTATAAATACAGTCTTATAATTTACCTCCTGTACCGACCAATTTTTTCATTACTTTGACCTAATCTAATGGTTCTCTGTATTTACCAAAAAAAATCTAATGGTTCTTTGTGAAGTAGGTGCTACTTTGTTAGGCCATTTGAAGTACACAGGGCAGTGACTAGATGCTCTTAGGATATTCTCATGATAGCTTTGTGAGATACAATTTTTTTTTTTTTGCCAAGAGTATGCTTAGATCATTGGGTGATGATGATACATGGACAATATTAAACAGTTTTATACATTTATTTAATCATAATTTATCATAAATAATAAGCGTATTGATTTTTATAATATCTATTTAAACATTCATATGAACTATGATCTAGTTAATTATGTAAACCATGAGAGATATCACTGGTATACTCTAACTTATTAAGATAGAGATTAATCTCAAAATATTACGATTATCGAGAACTTTAATTTTTTTTAATGATGGATAACTAATTTAAGAATTAAGAAACATGGTTTTTGTATAGGAGAAAATTTGGAATGATTGTAACCTCTCTTCTTTCCACCTTGATGAAACCAAAGTTTAAAGAATTGTATGAATCATGTCATACTATTTGTGATAAGAATTTGGTGCTACTAATTTCAACTTACTTAACTAATTCACCATACTAGTATGTTAGAGCATCTATAATAAAAATTGCTTGAAAGATTCTTAAATTTAAATACTTGTTTTTATTTAATTTCTTCATTGTGGTTGAATGTCATGGAAATCATAATATATAAGAACATATATTTTATAAAGAGTTATTCCTAACATTAAAAATATAGGAGAAATTTTGTTCTAACATACTTTATTACGAGAAATGATACCTAAAACAATGTACAATTAAGTGGGAGAAAGAGAAAATAAGTTTATTTATTTTCATCATGAACTTCTATGTTGTGTATACATATTTTAAATTTAAATAAAATTTATAAATATAAGGATCCGTTAGATTTCTACACTTAATAATCCAACAACTAGTAACAAAAACAAGCATCTAATAATCAACAAACACAACAACATAGATGCATCAATAATCAACAAATAATTAAACATACAACTTCAACAATCAACAAAAGAGTTGGATTCTAACTTCTTTTACCTCTAATCACCAAGAGAGGGGAAGAAGGAGGAATAATGAATCATTATAAGCTAACTTCGCACCAACACTGTACCCACTTAGATTCTTAACTTTGAAGCTTGCATCACAATTTCAGCTACAAAATCTCACTCTCTACAAGACTTAGAAGAAGAGAGAAAAATCTTGACTTTAAAGCTCTTCTCTGACTTTCTAAAGAAATCAAATTATGAAGTTTATTTCTTTTAAAAAATATCTTATATACATTTTTCCAACAGGTTAATTTTGACCTCTATTTAGAAAAAATCATAAACAACTAAAATACATGAACATTTATAATTTTTCAAAATTTCTCAACAATTAAACAATAAATAACCACAACACATAATTAAATAAAATCAACTATTAATCATGCACAATGTTACAATAAACAATAAACTAAAAAGAACAATATTTTTTTTCATAATTAATAATCAAACTTTGTTATATTGAATATAAACAAATTAAAGATATGGAAAAAGTAAATTCGAGAGAGAAATATGGGGGATATTCGAATCAAGATGCATCATTTATTTATATGTTATACATTAAAATTCAAGATTTTAAAATAAAATTTATATTTGAATTATTATTATTATTGGTATTATTATTATTACATAATTCCTTTTTCTTCATCACTTTTTTTTCGTCTCTCTCCTTTATCTCAAAACTTCAATCCCCATTTTTTTATGTTACCTCCTCCGTCACAGAAATTTCAGTTGGTTGTAAGTATAAAATATTTCTATCTTAATAATAAAATAGTCATTCAACACTTATAAACACTATGTTATTGTTATCCAATGTAATGTATAAAATAATTATTATTTTTATTTTTAATCAGTTCAATCACCATTGAATAATGGTTAGACTATTAAACTTTAAATCATTCATAACAAGGAGTTATCTTATTATTGTATGGCTCTTGTTTACGATCGAGACGGCAGGATATTCAAAATTCAAATTAAGACGATAAAATATTAAACCATTATGAAGATTGGACTATTAACTAGCCATCGACCTACGAAGTAGGAACTATACTCTCTTTGACTCATCTTTTGACTAAGTTTCTCACCTTTGCATTCCATAAATTCTATTCTAACCACTCATCAAAAAACGGGCGCAGTTTTTTAGAAGATATGTTACTAGAGAGGAAATTGTTTTATTTATATAAAGTAAAATAATATGTGTCTTTGATAGGATTCATTTAGAAATTATAACTATTATAATATACAACTAAAAATATATTTAAAATTAATAACAATGTTAATTACACATTCTCATAATTTTAATTATTTATATGAATTAAACTCGATATTAATATAATTTACAATATTCACATCATGTTCAATCAACTCAATTAAACTCATTGATTATACATTTTCATAATGTTTTAATACATTTTAGTTATTTATCTAAACTTATTAAAATTTACAAAATTATAAATATAATTTATTAGATAAAAATGCGATCCATTAATTTTTTTAATTTTTAATAAATTTTATTCAATAATAAAAATATTTAAGAATGTCAAATAATGTTTTATTGAGACTTTCCTTTTTTTTTCATGCTTTATTTAACATATATCTATTTACAACATGGCTGAGGCAGCCCAATTAGTTCCTCTTTACAATTGAAAATTTACATGACAAACAAATTAAGCTTTTGTATTTATTGAGATAGTGTAGGTTGTTAAATAATTAGGAGTATAGTATGATAGTGGGGAAGGGTTTATGTAACACAGTGCTATTTCAGCTTTGACGCGTTTGGATGTGCACATGCACTCAAAATATGGCAAAAACTGTTTAGTCAACCTTTGGGATATCAAAAGTCAACGCACCATACAACGCTACTACATAACCCAATGGGTCCCATCCCAGGCCCATTTCAGTGATTTTGGGCCTCCTGTCGTTCACACTTCATTTTGTTCGATAATTTTTAAAATAAGTTATTTCTCTCTCTCTCTCTCTTTAGAGCTTAGTTTAGTGATGTATATATGAAATTTTAAATT